TCCCGCCCGCCCCCACCCACCCCAAAGAAGCTGATATTTCAATCTTTCAGGACCATCATCACATTTGTTTCAACGGTAAGGAAAGAAGTCGTCACACTGCATCCCAGGATACTACAGTGCTTTTTTTTCCCTAAGCAATAATTATCACAGCTGATTTGAATGCAGTGCGATCGCCATGGGATGTCACACAGTGACAGCGTTGTAAGATACAAGTCAACATTTATGCCCTCCAACTAATACATATTTTAAATGAGACTGGACTCCAGCAGAACGGAATGATGAAGCCAAGTAGAAATGTAGCGGAAACCCAATTGTCGTCCCCCCCTCCCCCAGTTTGATGTGAAACTATTGCATTCCAGAATGCCCTGGGAATGCAGTCACACAAGGGAAAAGTAGCAGCCATGGCTACTGTGTGGGCTCATCATGACATGTAACATGGTGGTGCACACAAGCAAATGAGGGAACATAACCGTCTGGAAGGAAAAATACAAATTCCTAGCAAATCCTCAAAATGACCCGGGTGCTTTAGTAGGGTTTTCTCTGTCAAAAAACCCCAGCATGGAGAGCTACCTTTTTCTTTTATGTTTTTGTTTCCCTAAACAGGCAGTAACACAATCCAGCACATGTCAGGGGGAAAAAAAAGGTGGGCAGGCAGGGAGGAGGTACTAACAGGAATTAAGAAAGCTTTATTCCATAATTACAAAAATAAACCTTAAAAATCAGACACCCTGCTTCTCCCCCAATGTAAAAAAAAAAGGAAAAAAAGAAAAACAACCCAAACACTCACTTTAGCAATGCCCTAAAACACCTTCAGTGTTGTTGGCAGATTTCATTCAAAGGGAGCCAAGCATCTGTTCAGCCAGAGAGGGAGAAGGAAGCTCACGGTTCCCCAGGGAAGTTGAGCCTCATGGTCTGATAGGGAGACGGAGGTTTTCAACAGCAAAGGTGCACCCTTACCAAGGAAGGCAGCAAAACCAGCAGGTTTGTCTCCAACCTGCAGCTCCTCCAGTTGCAAGAATTGCCATCGAGCAAACTCTCAATGGCCCAATTTTGGTTTGGAAACATCCGTCGGTGGGAAGGTCACGGGGCCCCTTAATACTATCATCCTATATAACACTCAAGCGCACAGGGATGGTCTTGTTAAAAAACATGGAATGATGAGAAAAACTAGAAACGTCAAGGGAAAGGGTTGACGTTAACTTGGAATGAAGGCCTTGTTCCGCTGTCTAGCCAAGTTCCGGTTTAGGAGCCATCAGGCTCATATGCCAGACTACAAAGGGCAAGCTGGAGTCCCTGCCTGCCTGCCCGAGCTTGCAGACGCAGAGGTGAACAAAGGCAGCACAGAGTGCTGGAAGAAAACCAATGGCCAAGCTTAGTACTGTACCATTAAATTATTATCACAGCAAACAAGAGGACTTGGGTTGTGCTTCTCGTGAGCTCCAAAGAGCGGAGGACAGAGAAGCCTCAAAGGGTCCCCAGCCATACAATCAGCTTGGCACCGGATGCTCCAGTCAGAAAGCTGGCTTCTGCAGGTTAAGGCTTTTGGCACAGCCTGCCATCCCAAGCCACAGAGACCAGGAATCCACAGCGTGTCCAACTCGTAATTTGAAGGCCTGCTCCTGTGCGCTGCTTCTACAACGCCTCTCCTGCCTGTACAGCTTCAGCCACGTGGGAACTCTTGAGGGTCATGCAGGGGAGGCCGGCGCCACGCCGACATCACGCAAGCTTCTCAGGGCAGGGGAGGCCAGTGGAGGCCACTGGAAGGGTCCCTGCTTCACAAAAGTAGCCAGACTCCAGTGGCCATGTTCAAGAGAGGCTTTCCCCCCACCCGCCAATTAAAATTGGCTGAATTTTAAAACGGGGCTGAAGCTGCAGGTGGGCCTTTTGAGCTACCAAACTCCCCCAAGCCCCAACACTGGCAGGGGGGTGTGAAGCGAAGATCGCAAAGGCATTCAAAGGAATACATTCACAACTGTTCTTGGGAACTATGTAAACAGCCACCAGGAGGTGACCTCTGGAGGACCACCCACCCACCCTGCCGTGGTCCTTGGATCAGCTCTTTTTGGCCTGGATTTTTGTTTTTTTTGTTTTTAAGGTTATTATGTGAGAGAGAATTTGGTGGTTGCAACTGAAGCAAGTGCTTCATTACAGGAGGAAAAGAAAGAAAACTCGGAGCACGAGCGGCTTCATCAGTCCAGGCTTCAAGTAGTACTGCTGCAGGGTACCCAACTGCAGCAACAGGACTAGAGAGAGACAGAGACAGAGAGAGAGAGATCCTAAGCAGTATCAACTATTCGGCATTCGGCTATAACAAGCATCTACAAGCTAACATCAAATACCTAATACTTCTCAAACCCCCACCCCACCCCAGCGAAACCCAAGCTGCTCAGGTCTGGTGCAGAAACCGGAAGCCTGCTTTCTTGGCCTGACCAAGCTCCAGGGAGGTGGGCTCTTTGCTTTAGGGGCCTCTCTCCCGGGGGAGCCTGAAACCGCCACAGCAGCGTGCACAGATACGGCAGCGGGCAAGAACCATTCACTTGAGACGCTGTCCTGCTTAGGAAGGACTCTTAAGGGTAAGGAAACTTGATGTCGGGGAGTCTGAACCAGAAGATTAGACTGTTTCACTTTGGTCACCAACCATTCAGCACAGTGCAAAATAGCCGATCCAACGTTAAAGGGGGGGGGGAGTCAAGGCCAAGAGGAAATGCCCAGCCAAGTGCACTTCTCCTACTGCCTAAGGCAATCCACAAATCACATGCTTGAAAAGTTTTTTTTAGATTTATTTTTAAAAAACGTAACCCTATCCAGAATGCTCTCCAGTCATGCATCTATTTATTTTTGTTGTCTCTCTATGTGTGTGCGTTGGGGTGATGTCGGGGAGAGAAAACTGGCTCAGAGGTGATGACAAAGCCCATGAGCCATCCATCAAGGATGGCGCAACTTGGGACTCATTGGCAGAGCAGTCCATGTCACACTGGATCACGGGCAACGCAAAAGGCCTTTTTGCCAGCAAGAGATCTAACTTTGGCTGCATCCTGCAATGGCAAACTGAAAAATAAATGCCGTCATGCACAGCACCCAATGCATCGTGCTTCTGACTCCTGTTTCCAATACAGGCTGGTTGTTGCTGTGTTGAAATCTAGATCTTACCTTTGGGAAGCTGAACTGCCAAGCCTTCTGTGTGTGCGCGCGCATGAGTGTATCTGTCTGAGCTAGAAAGCAGGACCTTGTGTTTATGTGAATACTGTTACTTGTGAAGCAGTGAACACCCCACTGCTCTGCCAGGGAACAAACGCGCACACGGCACAACAGCGCAGACCGAAAGCTGTAACGGTAAACATGGTTGTAACCACAGTGACATACTGCAAATGATCAAAACTGGATGTCCAACACTATTTTGTCTTCATAAAGGGCAATCACCAGCATAATGGCAAACCCCAGGACCAGCCCTAAGTTTTGGAGGATGAACTGCCCGACCGGACAGTAGCCGTGCTCTTCGTTGTCACCGTCCCCATGAAGCATCTCGGGAAGCTGGAAGGGAGAAAACGGCAGCATGATTACCCGCAATTCAGTCGGTTCACACCCCTTTTTAGAGAATGCCACCAGCGCTGCAGGGGCTGGCTTCAAGCTGGAGTCTACTTCTTCTTTAGAAATAACACCCAAGACTGATCCCAGTGTCACTGGGACAGGGCAGGCATGAAATGGAAGCAAGGGTTCAGGCAGTGCTCAGACACGAGGGCTGGCAGAGGCATTACACACCCCTGAACTCTTTGCGTGGTTGATGAACTGCTTTAAGCATTGGATGTCTTTAACTATCATTAGGGGCAATGCTGGGCGCCTGCCAGAACAGAGGAAGTTTATTCCTACAACCCCCAGTGGACAACTCAAGGAGGAGTCACCGTAATGGACCAGAAGATAGCCAAACAGCCCTGCATCTTTTGATTGCTTTCTTACCTTAAAATGTTGCCACATGAAACAGAACTTCCATTTTAACTTACAGCTGGATAGTAAGGCAGGAAGACCTTACTATCCAACCCACCAGCTTCTCCTCCCAGGCCTCCCTCACCCTTGCCTTGCTCTGCCTTATTCACAGAGTGTGTATGTGTGTTTGTGTATGTGTGTGTGTTGATTCTCTTTGGTGTGTGTGTGTGTTTGTGTGTGTGTTGATTCTCTTTTGGATCCCTGGCTGAAAAGAGAGGAAGGGTTAGCCCTCCCAGTACTGTGATCTCAATCAGGCCCCCCCGAACACGATGGCAAGGGAATACAACTTTCCCTAAGGAACCACTTTCTCTCAATTGTTGTAATGAAGAGGTATGCTATTTCTAGCAAGAACCAGCACTAGAGACACCGGAATAGCTTTCCACACGTGCACTGCCTGATATTAACTACAGAGGATTGGAAGGTGCTTTGGCAAGGGTAATAAAAATACCTGAAGAATGTAATCTACCATAATCACCCCTTTAAACACAGCCAGTCTCAGCAGAGACGAAGAAGGAAACTTGAGGGAGAAACGGTAGTCTCTGCCTAGCAACAGATGTATCAGGTCACAAAAAAGGGAAAACTGTGGTCCCAGGAGGCAGAAAATACAGTGCTTCATTAAATCAATGGCACAGACCAAATATAGTGGTGCCCTACATAGCAACGTTAATCCGTTCCATGGTAAGCGAAGATTCCCCCATCCGGCCGCCATTTTCGCTGCCCGATAAGCGAGGGCAGGGGGTGAAAACGCTGCGGGCGGCCATTTTGCTGATCAGGCGGCCATTTTGGAACCGCCGATCAGTTGTTTTCTAAACATCGCAATGCGAAGATCAGTAAACAAAACGCTTACCGATCATTGCAATGTGATGTTTAGCCTATCTAAACATCGCAATGCGATCACATTAGCGATTGCAAAAAACGCGTCACTATGCGGATTCGCCGTTAAACGGTGCGCTCGTTATGCGAGGCACCACTGTAAACCAAAAAATCATAGAGTTGAATGAACATGCCCTTGAAGAAGGCTGATAGGCTGTGCAAAAAACGCGTCACTATGCGGATTCATCGTTAAACGGTGCGCTCGTTATGCGAGGCACCACTGTAAACCAAAAAATCATAGAGTTGAATGAACATGCCCTTGAAGAAGGCTGATAGGCTGAAATGTGTCAGGCATTTTATAATGGAATAAAGAGTATTATATTTTCTACGTCCTGGGACCAGTTTACCCTTTCTTTGAACCAATATTCCAGTGGACGCACCAGTTTCTTTTTACAACCTGTTTACCTTAACAAATTAAGAGCTGTGATGACTGTTTAGGCACCCATCTTATAGGTACCCGGCGCAATGCAACACAACGCTTACCATATCCACCAGGGCAACATAGAGGAACATGCCGGCAGTGATGGCAAAGATCCAGAGAGTGATGTTATTGGCGTACTGCCCCACAGCTGTTCCTATGAGCATTCCTACGTAAGCCATCATGGCTGAGAGGAGGTTGTAAACAATGGCCTGCTTCACAGTCATGCCTGCTTTCAGAAGCACAGCAAAGTCCCCTAGAAAGAGAAAAGGAGATGACACTGCAGGCGCGCATACAACAGCAGCTCATTCACCACCATCAAGATGTCTTGGCTTCCAAGAATACTAGTTGTGTTTCTACGGATCACATACCCTTAAGTTGGTAGAATGTGAAACACTTCGATCAGAACTGGGAAACTATCAGATGGACTACAACCCCCAGTATCCACTAACATTGGGGGATGCTGGAAACAGTTGTTCTGGAAACAACAAATGTTGAAAGCAACATTTCCCAGCTTTGAGGCTTTCATCATCATCATCATCAGTCTACTGCTACCTCTAATGTTAACAGTACAATCTCTATATATTGTAACCTGTTAATGTGGTGGTTCTTATTGTCAGGTTTTCAGTTTGGAACTTAAATGTGAAAACCAGGTGCTTAATTTGTGTGTGTGTGTGTGTGTGTGTGTGTGTGTGTGCGTGCGCGTGTGTGTCTCGCTCTCCAACAGAACAATGAGGGTTCTGGATCCAGGAGAGAGGGGAAATTTAGAGCCCTGTGCTTAACTGCGCTAAAGCACTGGACATCTCTCTCTCTCCAATAGAACAATGAAGGTTCTGGATACAGGAGAGAGGGGAAATTTAGAACCCTGTGCTTAACTGCGCTAAAGCACCGGAGAGTGTTATAGCTTTACCACGTAGTGTGACCATACGGCCATATGAAAGCACCGGTCATTCACTATGGAAAATGTGATGGTTTTCATTCTGGTCTAACACAGCACACATCGCCTGGATCAAGGGGAAATGGCAATCCAGCTGTGGCTACCCCTGGGGAAAACCAGGGACTGGAAACACAGGTTAGTGGCAGAGTAACTGTTTGTAGCAGAAATAAATGGAGAGTGGAAATCAAATAAGCAACTGGAAGGGGCATAGCTGGCTTTTAAAACCAAGACATGATCAACTGACCCACCCCTACTATCTCTCAAGCCTGTAGGAGTCAAGAACAGAGCCTCAATAGACTGTGTTGCACAGAAGTGCTTATTTATGCCAGTGGAGGAAAGAAGCCTTGAGAGACGACGTAAAAGCCTGAAGACAAGAAACAAGCAGAGCTGACACTGACACTCCTCTAACCAGTGGTTCTTGAGGTCAAGTCCTATCTACACTAGCCCCTATAGCTAAGAAGGAAGGACGATGGGAACGGTTGTCTAACAAAATGGCGGTGGTTGGGGTGGGAGAGAATGTCCCCTCTCCCTGCCTGAGACCTCATGGGCGGAGTGACCCAGGACCACACCAAATGCACAAAGAACAACCAACGGTTTGTGGTAGAAAGGGAGGCTGGGCAATGGAACAGGGAAAGGGCAGAAAAGCACATGGGCTTGGGCAGACCACGCAGCATCTTCAGCTGAATGAACACCCGCAGCAGAAACTGGTTAACAGGTACCGATGCCCAGATTTGGCCAACTGCAGTCTAGAGTCCCTGACATCATTGGCAGTCCATTGTTTGTGATCTTGTTCGGCCTGCCCTGGTTCTATAACTAGCCGATAAGGAAGCATTTCACAGCATTAGGACGTTCCCCACAGCATCCAGTTGGATTCCCACGGTAGTTATGAGACTCCCCAGTGGCCTCCCAAGGACTTTGGCGACTTCGGCTTGTCACTTGAGCATCCAGCCTCTCCAAGCAAGCAGCCCTGTGCCATCTGGAGGCAGAGGAGGAGGAGGTGGCAAGATGCTCTGATGCTGCCGCTCACAGTTGCGGTGGTTTCCTTCCCCCTGGTTTTGATTAATTCCTGTGCAGGCAACAGGATTCAGCATCTTAACTAACATAGCACCCATCCTTTCTTGTTGAGGCTTAAATGGCAATTCTACACACTCGGTAGACCTCAGCAGATCTGAAATGCACCAAGCTCCATCCAAGTAGACCATTGTCAAGTGCAGTGGCTCTTGCCTTACTAAACCCTGGGTACGTCTCCAGGAATGATCACGTCTATTTAATACAACAGCTTTTCATCCACAGATCAGTAAGGAAAGCATGCATGGAAGACATAAGATCAACTGATTACCTAGTTCATGGGGAAGTTCGTGGCAAAATACTGCTATAGAAGTGCTGATTCCTCCCGTCAAGCCAGCACTGAAAGCTGCTCCTAGGAGGAATAAAAACAGAAACCAAGAAGTTATTTCAATTAGACTATTTTGAAGCAAATAACCCACAGAGACTTTTTTTAAAAAGGGGGAAGGGAGAAAGAGAGAGAGAGAGAGTTTTCTTTGCTTCAAGGTTTTCTCATGTGGCATGTATTCAATGCCTGTGTTTTAATGAATGCTCTGTCCCAACTTTATGAAATACAGAAACAGGGCAACAAAAGGAACTAACACACATTTAGGAAAAATAAAATCAAACATCTTTTAGAAAGATGAGAACCGTCAAAAACATCAGTTTGGCTTTGACCCTGAGATGCTTTACTTACCCCAGTTCCTATTTTAGCTATTTAGTCCAGTGGAATATATTGGAAGAAATGTTCTTTCTGACAGGATTAGACAGGGTGGGGAGGGGGACACAACATCATCTGCTGCTGAAGAACAGCTCTTGAGATCAAGAGTTGCCTCATGACTATGAAACTCTTCTGTTCGGGCTATACCACGATATTGATAAAAAGAGCTGAGGCGCAGAACAAATGACTTTGACGCGTGGCAGATTCGCCTTCCTGCTGAGGTTTTGAAACAGGACTGAAGCCCATCCCACAGGGATGGCATTAGCTACAGACTTTGCTGCACTGAGTGGGGGTTGGACTAGGTGACCCTTGGGATTATTTCCAACTCTTATGGTTTTTATGACTGTGCAGCCGGCCTGGGATACCAGACTGGCTTGGTTAAAGTGGGCACAGAAACAGAGATGGGCCCTGGTTGCCTGCTGTAGAAGAGTTGCCTGCAGCTGACCAAACGCAGACCCTCTTATCAGTTTCCGCGGAAGAATCTTCCACTCCCTCGTCATCACCGTGTCACAAATAATTAACAGGTCTGTTTAGGTAAGCAGGCTAGGAAAAAATATGGACAGTAGCAGTATTTCTGAAGGTGAGAAAAGGTTCTGGCTCCTGCGGTTTATAAGGGATTTAACAAATGTATCTCATCTCCTCAGAACTGCCTGCGTTGGGTTTATGGAACAGAAACTGCTCAGCTGTGCAAGAATTCAGGAGCCAGTCTGAAGCCATAGCCCCAGGCTCTGCAGCTGCAAAAGCACCAGCAGAGCTTTCTGACCTACCGTCTCCCCTCCTACAGTCAATTCTCTTCACTGATAACATAAGAGGAAACATGCAGGAAACTCACATGCTTGAAAAGTTCAAGCCACAAGACTGGTCTCTAAGCGGAGGGTGATGTTTCTTCAACAAGGTCTGCTCCTCACCCACTGAACCAGGGGACAATCTTTCTCCAAAGGCAGGAGATGCTTCTTCTCAGCCACCAAGTTTATTTATCCTTATTCTGGCAGGGAAGTACAGGGATAATGTGGTAGAAAGAGGCTTCTACTACTTCCGGGGAAAATTCTCATCCAGTGAGGTATGGAATAGGGTGTGTGGAGAGCATGAAAACAACACAGCTTATTTCAATGTGTGGCTGTGTAATTTGCTAGACCATGGTAGTCAATTTTAGAGGAGGTGGGGCCACTCTGTCCAGTTCCCCCCCACACACATTCCCAGACTAACTTTCAGCACACTACAAATTCTGGTACTGTGCTGAAAGCAGCATCACCATCCCTTTAATTTTATAATTAAAAAAAAAAGGGGGGGGGGAGAATGGGCATTTCGTTTTGAAGCCAAATTGCCCCTTTGGGAGTGTGACATGACTTCAGAGCAAAGTTTGCCTTTCTTGCGCACCTTGTCTTAAAAGAAAAAGGGGATATTGTCAGTATAATGGCCAAACTAGGCAGTAAAGCAGTAAATGTAGCAATGACGGCTGCAAAAAACAAGCACAGGGCTCATGCCGTTTGTCTGTATTACACAAAAGAGCAACAATCACAATGTGGGTGCAGACGGTGGTTTTCCCTTGTGACTATTTTACCAGGAAACACATCATCATAATGTGTTTTCAAGTCAATTCTGACTTACAGTGACCTTTTTTTGAGGTACAGAATACTCCGATGTAGTTGGCCATTCCCTTTTTCTGGGGAGCACTTCTGGGACTGTACAGCTTGCCCAAGGCCACCCAGGCTGGCTCTTTTTTGGAGGCACAGTGGGGAATTGAACTCGCAATCTCTGGCTGCATAGCCATCTACCTAAACCACTGAGCTATCCAGCCAGCTGCCTAGCAATTTTAAGCATGGACAATTCTATACATATATCACACCCCTCCACCCTCTACAGAATAGCCAATGGCGACATGCACCATCCCAGAGCCCCGATTCCCTTCCTACTTCCACCCTCTACAGAATAGCCAACGGCAACATGCACCACCCCAGAACCCCGATTCCCTTCCCACTTTGGCTTACCAATGGCCAAACCATCGCTAAAATTGTGGATGCCATCTCCCATGATCACCATCCAAGCTATGTTGGCTATTCCAGTATCTTTGAGGTCTTTGCTGGAATGGCAGTGTCCGTGAGAATGATGAGAGTGTTTGTGCGGCCAGAGGTGGTTGTGTTTCCTCACTAGGATCTTCTCCTCTCGATGGTTGCTCGCAAACTCCACATCCGGGAAATTGTTACCCCGAACGACACGGGAGACATCGTTGGGGGAATGGAGCATGCTGTTCTCTTCTTCGGCAGAGAGGAAGGCCTTGGGCAAGTTGTCAAACTGGCCGTCAAGGTCAGTCAGTTCAGTTTCGTTAAGTCGATCCTCAGATAAAACAGAATCATCTGCTCCTGTGTTGAATGAGCCAAAGAACGATTGCAAGTTAATTAGAAGTGACAATGGTGCTTAATTAAGACAGAGATGCTACTAATACTTCCCTGCAACCTTAATCATGAACATCAGGAGCTAAAGAAGCCAAGTATGTAAATACCTTTCTAAACAGCCCAAGAAAGTCACTCTATCCATCCCAGAAGAGGCTGAAGACTTACCTTGTCTAGCTTCCTGTTTATGTGGGGCCAGCTAGAAACTCTGTCAATAAGTCCATAAACAGGGCATAAACGTAACAAAAACATTCCCCTTGTGTTCCTTAGCAATGGATATTTAAAGACATACTGCCTGGGATGAAGGCTTATATAGCCATGCTGATGAGCAGCCATTAACAGCTTTATCTTTTTTTCCAATCACCCAGCTGCTTTTAAAAGCTAGCCAAGCTGACAACTATCCCTACATCTTGCAGTAGCAAATCCCACCCTTTAGTCAGTTTGTAATATCTGAAAGTCATGTGACAACCTTGGTGGTAGTACAACAGTAAAAAAAGGGCAAGCCCAGCAGCAAAAAGGGCAACTTCAGCTGCAGGTTATTTAAGTTATGGACTGTTGCTGTCAGTGTTCTATACCTGGGGTCTCCATAAGAAAGTAAAATTAGATGACAAAGCTATACAAGCAAAATGATCCCTTCAAATTAAAGACGGGACCAAAAATGCGATGAGGTGTCTAACATAAGGAGGGCTACCTGCCTCCATACATGCCTAGCCGCCTAGAGTGGTCGAAATGACTAGATAGGTGGGGTATAAATACAATAAATAAATTAAAAAATGCCTGGCTACATGTACCTAAGGGTGCTCAGTATATTCTTTTGTAGGTACTCTCTTAAGTGAGTCAAAACCAAGAACAGCCAACAGAGACTAATGACAATGAACAAAATGGTTGGATCAGTTACTACTGCAAGTCTATAAAGAAAGACATTTATCAACTGTAAATCAAAAGGACTCCAATCAAAGTTGAACCTATTGACCAACCAATGTGGAAATGTTTGGAAAGAAAGGGAAATTGGATGGCATGAGTTGGCCAAAGTCATTAAGGGCACAATAACATTTGTGAATTATGTCTGCAAACTCAAGAACTGAAGATAAATATTGGAAAAAATGTTCCTTGTGGTTTCTTCAATACAACTAATGCAGTCCGACCAGTTTAACTGTTTAATGAATCATTTTGAACACCATTTTGTGGCTATCTCCAAAGAAATACACAAATCTGTATGTGAGGGTCCCTTGACTAGGAATGGACCTCAACAGGAGGAAAACCCTGACATCTGAGCATTCAGTCTGGAGGTAGGAAGTGCATTATGGCCTCTCCCAATTTGAAGAGACCCTTGTCCAGCAGGCCGAGGCAAAGAGGCAGTCCCGAAACCAGGAAAATCTGTGAGCTGGACAGATTGTATTTGTCTTCAGTGTGGAAGGGATGGTCACTCTCGAATTGGCCTTCTCAGCCACACTAGATGCTGTTCCAAGTCCTCCATACAGAGCATGTTACCATAGTCTCTCGAGACTGAAGGAAGCCTATTTGGTCTCTTGATTGGGGAATATACAATTCAAATTCAGTTTAGATTTTTTACAATTAAAGGGAGGATGGCTTCTCGATGGAAGTTTTTAAAAACCAACGAACAGAATAAATTGAGAATCACTATGTTAACTCCATGTTACAACAGTTTTCCTACGCCACAACCTATCTAACCACTGGGTAAACAAAGCCATCAGAAGAGCTTCACCTCCCACAACTTTCCTATGTCAGCAAAACCATTAATAGCCACAGATTTCAAAATAAATTCAAAATTCAGTTTCATCCATCAGATTAAATCAGGGTGGACACAAAGCAGATGAAATATTGCAGATCTTTGCAGTGTCTTATGTAGATCAGAAAGGATTTCTGACTCCCATTAAAATGCCATGAATACCAACAGAGGGAGTCTCTCTCTTTATCTCCATCTCATAACTGAAATGAACTAAATCTGGGATAAACAGGAGTAAATTTTTTGTGTGTGAAAGGCTGACAGCTCTATCATTCTTTTCCTCCAGTTCCCCCACAGAACCTTTTTAATCCTTGCTGGATGCCTTTTGTACTTGGTTGAGCCTGGTATTCTAGCAAAACATTCGAGTACACTTCACAAGCCTGAGGTTAGCCCACCCCTGGATTAAGTAATGAAATATTTTACTCTTTAAAATCAAGTCTCCTGATGCACCCAAACGATCAAAAACACACACACACACATACATGCAGAGGCAGTCCCAGAACGAATAGTTACCAGCGAGAGGCTTGAGCTGAAGCCAGTCCGTATCAGGCCTGTTCAGCTTGTGATCTGAAAGCTTCCTCCCAACTGGTGACTCGTCAGCCTTCTGTTTTTTCTTACACCATTTCTGTTTACTCTGCAAGAGAAAGGGGAAAAGATACCTGGCAGTTAAGGCCTGTAAAGGAGGGGGGTGGTGATGAAGGAAAGCCCAAGGGACAGCTGTAGGGGCACAAGGAAGAACAAGCACGGCTGTCCTCTAAAGATGCTCCACTAGGATACTGGAACGGCTGGCACGCAGAACACAGATCAATACCACTCCGTTCTATTCCGTTCTGATCCCCCTCTATTCGGCACTGGTTTCGTGTCCAATTCTGGACATCACACTTCAAGAAGGATGCTGACAAACTGGAGCAAGTTCAGAGGAGGGCGACAAGGATGATCAGGGGACTGGAAACCCAGCCTTATGAGGAAAGACTGAAAAAAACAGGCATGTTTAGCCTTGAAAAAAAAGAAGTTTAAGGGGAAATAGGATAACACTTTTCAAATACTTAAAAGGTAATCATACAGAGGAAGGACAGGATCGGTTCTCCATCATCTCAGGGTGCAGGACACATAATAATGGGTTCAATTTAAAGGATGCCCGATACAGACTGAATATCAAGAAAAACCGAACAGTTAGAGCAGTACGACAATGGAACCAATTACCTCAGGAGGTGGTGAGCGCTCCAGCGTTGGCATTCAAGAGAAAACTGGATAACTATCTGTCAGATCTGCTTTGATTTGGGTTCCTGCCTTGAGCAGGGGATTGGATTCGATGGCTTTATAAGCCCCTTCCAACCCCATTATTCTAGAATTCCTTGATGAACACCAAGTTCTTATCAGTGGGGCTAAGTTAAGTCTTTAGCAAAGGCTCCCCAGCAAAAATGTGTTACGATCTTGGTCTATGTTTCTAATACTGCAGCATGCTGCTCCAAAGCGTTTATTGATCACCACAGCGCTTCCCTTCCAAAGAAACTCCATCATTCCTGAGGGGGATTCCACACGGCCTCCCTACAGCCCTTCCTGGGTTGGCTGCAACTCTGCTGGACACCACCACGGCTTCCTTGTCGACAATGGGCAACAAAAGATCCTTCCACATAACCCAGGAGGTGATCCACACCCCCCCCCCCGGTTTTGTTTTCCCTTCTCCTTCCCAGGCGCTCAACACTGGGGGGGGGGCACTTGTTGTGCCGATTGTTCTGACGGGTGGGCGGGAGGCGCCCGCATTGTGTCTAGCACAGCCGCAGCAGCACTCCTGGCTCACTGCTGGTGAATGCACCAGGCGCACGTGTGCTTGCTGAAAGAGTCCCCACGCTGCCCTCTTCCACTTCCACAGAATCGGGCGCAGAGGAGAGAGTGAGGCTGTGCTGCTGATCTAGCTTGCGAAATACAGAACTGAATTTTCCCCACGGCTTCCAACAATGCAGGAGAAACTCTCTCCTGCAAGTAGTCTTGTTTAATAACACATCTCATGGCATGGCTGGCAGCTTCTTGCAAGCTTCAGGAACCATGGCGTTCCTATGCAGGCCTACCTCCTAGACAGGCAGCCCTCCTTTTTTCCCCCCTGGATTCATACTTGTACTGTTGAAGACTTTAAAAAGGTCAAAGGCAGGGCTGGTTCCCCCCCCCCCCACTACCAGAACTACTTGGATATTATTCTGATATCCAAGGCCAAGGAGTTAGGATTCCCCCCCCCCCGGGTGGGGGGTTCTAATTGAAAGATTAATTAAAAAGACGTATCTTCAAAAGAGGACAAACCAATCCTGCAAACCTTCCTCTTCAGGCAGGCTTTCCCTTTAAGTGACAGGCTATCTGGGAGGGCTTATTATTTTTAAAACAGGTTGTTATGCCTTGTGGCTTTTACATGCGTTTTTCATATTGATTTTATTTACCATTTATAACAAATTACTTGTTTACTTCTTTTCAAATATTTATTTACTGGTTTTAGCTTTTCAATATTGCCTTTTTAGTGATGTAAGCTGCCTTGGGTGCTTTTTTAAGGGGAAAGGTGGGATAAAACTAACGAACTAGCTTCAAAATCAGGCTAATTTACAGAAGGAAAAAAAAATCAGGAAGCTATCTGCCTTTAAGGAACTGGAGCATCACAATTTTTTTTAAATGACTAGTACTTTCCACTCCCATAAAGGACCATACACAAGTAAGAGATATATCAAGGATAGCACTTCTGCTTTTTCACATCCCGTTTCTGATTGCAGTGTTTATGTTTTGATCGTTACAGGATTGCCTGGGGGAGCAAACTCCCTTTTTCTGAAGCCATTTTCGGTCTGCTTAAGCTTCTGCCCATCAAAATCCCATTCCGTTTACCCTTGAGGAGAAAGAATAGAATCTGCTTAGTTGATTTGGCTTAACATCTTTGCAAGTTCCTAGCATGCTGCTCTTTCTGCTGCTCCTCCTGGTTTCTTTTCGCCAAGCCAGGAGACACCAGGCCTTCCTGCCAATGCAGGCTTAGCAGTTTTCCAGGGACAGCACAACCGGACGGCAGGGGAGAAGGAGATTCTTCACTGCCCACCCCCCAAAAGGCCTGCAGAAGCCACAATGGGGATTCCCCCCCCCTCAAATATTGTACCGAAAACGGAGGAAGCTGGTGATCACTTAGGAAAAGAGCAGTTGTCTTCCAAACCCTTGAATGAGGTGGGATTTCCCATTCTACCAAATCCCCTGGGGGAAAAACACCCAGAGGTGGCCGATTTCTGGAAGAAGACTCCCCCCCCTTCCTTTTAGGAACAAAGACAAAGCCATACAACAGATTCACCTCACACTGCAGTCCTCAAATTGTTCAAAACTTCTGGGGGGGGGGGGGAGAAAGCTTTTCTCATGTTGTAACAGCCATTGACTTTAATCACTGAAAACAGCAGACCCACAGTGCCATGTGAAAAAGTGGATGCTTTGCTGTGCATGTGGTCCCATGTCCAGCCCAGCCCCCGGCCTCCCCCCTGACCTCCCCCCTTCATTGGATCCAGCAAAAACTACCTACGCTTCAGACCTCAAAAAGCAGCTAGTCTATCAGGGTCAATTATGAGCAGGATCGACAACTGGATGCAACATGAGACATAACTAGTAAGTTCCTCTATGCCTGTCAAGCTGTCAGGCCCAGTACAGGCTTCACAGTTTTTTCTCCCAAAACAGGACGTTGGTTACCTGTGATAAAACTCTGGGCTGCCACGACCAATGCACCAACCCATATGATGTGTGAGGCAGAGAAACCATGATGGGTTGACAATTCTGCGCACCAGCCACCCACTGGCTGTTTAGGAGGAGCACGGTGCTCCCAATAATCCATTATTTCTTCAGCTAAGTATTAGAACACAACAGACATTTAAAAACCTACCCTTTGTTTCTTGTAGTGCTTGAACATTCTGATGCAGTGTTCGATGATGAACAGAAGATAAATTCCACCCAGCGCCACGAGGCCTTTGAGGACAGCATCGTACTCGTCTAGGAAGCTCTGGGCCATTTCTCTGTGCCCATGAGAATGGCCATGGACATGCTGGTGTTCATGCTGGTGACCCTGGCCCTCGTGATGACTGTGGTTGTGTGCCCCCTGTGACTATACGGTAGAGAGGGGAGCAAGGAGACGCACCATGAGCGACATTCCAAAGTTAAAAACCAAATCTATTACCTATCGCATTTCTCAACCAGAACAAATGCCCTTCCCATTTAAAAAAAAACCTCTTTCTCTCTCTATGAAAATAAAGGTGCTTTTTTAGTATCACAGCCAAGCACTGATGATAAGCCTGTGACTATGTATCTAAAGTACATGCACACTCAAAAAGGTCTCTAACACAATCAGCTTTGATTTTATACCAACTCTAAAGAGTTTACCTTCAGTGAATTTGTCTTGTGATATTTAGAGTGTAGGAACTGGTACATTTTGAAGGTCTTAAGACTGGTCTACTGACATGTGTCATTGAGAACAGAAGTCTAGCTCAAAGGTGACCAACACTAGCAGGGCCTGAAATTAAAGGAAGAAGCCCACAGCTCTCAAAATCCATCCAAGGCTGCACCCATTTCTATTAGGCAAAGGAATTAACCTGTAGCATTTTTCTGCTCCTACCATTCATGTCACAACCCTTTCCCCTTGCATCCCATCACAGAGATCAGTGAACTGCCTCCACTATCCTGCAGCTGTTACTTGACTTCTAAATTAAGCTTTATTTACATCTCAGAATAGTAAATGATAAACCTATTAGCTTATAAAACTGCACTAGGGTCATGCTTTGTGGCTCTTCTTTATTTCCACATGGCCTGGCTGCTGAAATGTAGAACTTCTTCTAGACACAAAAATTTACATGTTTGTTTCTTTGAAAAAAAATTATCAACATTTCTGAAAATGATTGACCTGTGTCAACCGGAGTAAAACTTAAGTCCATGCTTAACTCTCTCTGAGCAAACAGTCTCAAAAACGAACACTTCTCGGCCCCATTCTTTAATTGTAGGAATGACTTGTGTCAAACTTAACCCCGAAATACCTTCTGAATATTCTAAACAGCTGAAGTGCACGAGAGAAGATTTGGCATATATGTGGGCATATACATGTTCTACCTTTCTGTCACGAAATATTCATGAAATATTAAGAGGGGGAACCTTCAACAGCTTTACTTCTACGTTGTGCATTTAAGCACAAAAGTGGCTCATTTAATCACTCCTGCCCATAGCCAATAAAAATGTTGAGAACTTTGTTAAAACAATCACCAAGTGTCATGGTAGCAATGGCACAAATTAATGAATGGCTTTCGGGTTAATACAGGTGCATCTATGAGGGCCTATGGAGTTTTGTGGGGGAAAAAGGAAGCACAAACATAGACTGGATGGGACAGAAACTTACATGTGGGAGCAGATGAAGGAGTGCATCTCCGCTCATGGTTCCTACTGCAAGAGCAACCAGGAAGGTGAGGAGAAATTTGAAGCACCCTTGGTTAATTATGGGAATCAAGATCACACCCAGCAAGGACAGCAGGCTAATGACGGTGATAGAAATGATGCCACAAATCCAGGCTGTTAGAATTGCAGAAGAAAAACATGAATCAGGAAAACTTTCTAATCACCAGCAAGCAACATTAGAAAAAGTCAACGGCGCTCAAAGGATGAAAAAGCTCGCTCTCTCTCTCTCTCTCTCTCTCTCTAAGTCTACTAGAAATATCTGATTGGGATCTGAAGCATGTGACTCCTTGTCTAATGTTTACGATCATGTTTACCATCGTGACTCCTTGTGTAATGTTTACGATCTGTATGACAGGGCTGGATTTTTGTTTACACAAACATAGACACATAAAACCTGACTACTTGCCAACGAAGTAGCTTCCTGTGTCAAACCATAATCTTGGTGTAAGGCTTGTGTACATTTAACTTTAACCAAGTGGCTTCATCAAGGTCAATTGTGGGAACAACTGTATTGACTTAAGTTTCTCTGGAATTAAGTGCCGACAAAGAAATGTCGGGGCTCACAACTGTCCCCCTGATGAGCAGGAGGGCCCCCTTCTGATCCATCAACAGGTAGACTTCTTCGCCTTGAACTGTAAAAACACGTCACCGCATTTGGCTCAACAGAGTTCTTTGCAATAATCTTACAGTCTTATCTAGGCTTAAAACCCCTGAATCCCCCTTCTTCAGAGGAGACACAATCGGCTTGAGGTACTCGTCAGTCAAAATGCTGGCACGTGAATAGCTGGCACCTCAGATGAACTAAATCTCCAGAGCCCAGTTCTGCAGTTGTTCAAAGTACTTTGTACTCAACATCAAGGACATTAAGAGGGGAACATAAAGACATGTTTAGAGTATGTGTTTGAGCAGAAACTTCTTATACCCAGAAAGCCTACAGGCAACACATAAGGCAACGTACACAAGCAAGGAAAAGGGATACGGAAACAGGACAGTCCTACAGAAGGGACACCAGGCTGAGGTCCAGTAAGGACCATGCAATGGGGAAAACAGAGGAAGACTGTTGACTGGGTGGGGAGGCCCAGACCTGGTCTAGAAGGAGAGGGGCTTGATGGAGGACTAGAGACACCGATGAGGCAGCACACAGAAATAAGAGCACCAAGGTCAGGTCAGGTCAGAAGAGGAAGAGGGTCCCAAGAGGACACAGCCATCAAGGTACACCAATCTGCAGCAAGGCTTGGAAAAAGACAGATTTGATGGCCTCTCCTAGAATTCCTCAAGCAGTGTGGTTAGGCCCACCGAGGAAGTTTGGAAGTTGGATTCCAGGAAAACAGGCTTTCCCATGCCCTGCACATGTGGGGCAAATCCAGATGAGATCTGAAAAGGGTTTCTGGGAGTATGTTTCACCATTACCTTCCAATTCAGCGGCATGCCCTCTTTACACCTGCATTTCCATATTCATCCCCTAGGCACCCTGGTGCATTTTCATGAAGATTACCATTAGCACAGTCTCACCAATATTGCATTAATTAAAAAGAGAAAACGAAGAGAGAGAAAAAGATGACAAAATCTGTTTATAATGCAGATCCTTCTGGCCACGGCAACAGTATGCCTGAAGTTTACAAAGGGACTGGGGGGATTTTTTTAATGTCAGCTCCTCAGCTTCCCTCAAAATGTCTGCTGCATTTTGCACTTATTTTCAAAATCAGGTCACTTAAACCAGGGAAGGTCCTCAAGATTACTTATTCATCAGTTCCCTCCCTCATTATCCAGACACAAAATGCTTCTTTTTAAAAAGAAGCGCTCATCTGTGGAACCTTTCTAATTAACTTGGTTTAAAGGCATATGCACGATGACAGGGTCTTTTCTGGGGTGTGTGTGTGTTTGTGTGTGTGTGTGAGAGAGAGGTTTTTGTTACAAAATATACAAGCACACAGTTTCAACATTTTAATTGGCATGAAATGCTTAGCAGCCTTTTTATAAGCCCTCCTGGCAATTAAACGAAGGTCAGCTCTTGACTAAAACAAGGCTATCCAGAGAAACAAACAATTTGCTACCATATGCAGCATATATAGAGTATTTGGTGTATCGAATCTTTGAACAAAGTTAATGAGGTAGTAGCTGTGTCACTACGGGAAATCTATACACAACAAGTTAACCTTTCTTAATGATGCTGCAGTCATTAAAAATAATTACCACCAAGGCATTTCTCTCTGACAAGAATTAACATATATCAGAATGCACTCAATCTGTGCTTTATTTCTGACAATGCTAATAAGCACCTGTAAAATGACTGATCAATATTCACTATTACTTATACCATTATTTTCAGGCTAAAGGCAATTCCCTCCAAGGGAATTACAGCCGCTGTGCCAGCTTCAGAAACAAGTGTGAATTCCATTCCATGGGAATCCACATATTGTTATAGGAAGATATGGGAAAAATGCCTGTGTCTTTAAAAAACTGCATTTCCCAGTTATCTTAGTTTCTCCATTATCCAGCAACCTACCAATCACATTTTGAACATCTCCCATGCACACAAACTGGAAACCCACCCCCCTCATGGTTCTGTCTTAATTGGAGCAGGAAGACATCTCCCCATTTAGTGGTGCCTCGCTTAACGAGCGCACCGTTTAACGACGAATCTGCATAGGGATCTTTTTTGATTGCTAATGCGATCGCATTGTGATGTTTTCAATGGCAAAACATCGCATTGCGATGATCGGTAAGCGTTTTGCTTACCGATCTTCGCATTGCGATGTTTTTTTAAACAGCTGATCAGTGGTTCCAAAATGGCCGCCGGACGCCCAAAATGGCCACCGCAACCATTTTTGCGCCCTGCCTCGCTTACCGAGGGCGCGAAAATGGCGGCACTATGGAGGAACTTCGCTGAACGGTGAGTTTGGGGCCCCATAGGAACACATTAAACTTCGTTTAATGCATTCCTATGGGTTTTTTTATCCGTTTAGCGATGTTTTTGCATAGCGACGATTAATCCAGAATGGATTAATGTCGCAATGTGGGGCACCACTGTACATGCTTTATTTCTGACTTCTGGGGTTGCTGCAGATATCGGTGGCAAAACAGGAGCGCCAATGTGAAAAAAGTTCGGTGCCTTGTTTTGCTTCAGCAAACGGGATCCCTGAACCAGGACATGACCCAAACCACAAAGCAGTTTGTCGTTTTTTTCTCAGGTTCGCGGTTTGGTTCATTCCCATCTCTAGATTTGACTATATAACCTTCACAACTCAAGAGCCTCCCCCTGGGTGCCAGATCATGCTTTCATGCTACATAATTTGACCAAGAGATCAAGGAGAAAAAAAATACTGAACTCATTCAGTGTTAAGTAAGAGGCCAGGTTATAGGAAAACTGGATCTGCTGATTCTAAGCAACTGTGGACTCCCTTTAGAGGACTGCTATCTCCTACTGTATATTTTGATGTTTAGGGACCGTTTTGGCATCACATAATAGTTTTATGATTCTCAACTGAACCAGGACATGACCCAAACCACAAAGCACAAACTAAAGAGGCCCTTTACAACTGTCTCCAGGTAAGGCGGAACAAAGTCGGCACGTATGCTCTAATAGAAGACTTCCTCACACAATTAAGTGCATTTAGGTACAGAAAAGCTGTTTTAAATAAAGGCAATGCACAATGACTGAGTAAGTTGCATTATGCTGAAATAAACATCAGTGGGAAAGTGAGTGTGTAGCCAGGATCACCCGCCTTTTTTTTTTTTTTTTTTTTTTTTTTTCCTGC